TCAAATTCCCCCCCAATGTTTATTTTCTTTTGGTATTTAATTTGATATCATTAATCGAGTATATAAATATGGGAAGATTTTCATATTCCAAGATCATTGAATTACCAAAACCCAAAAAGAAAGAAAAGAAATTAGATTTTGAAGTCATAAGCTTTGATATTCTGATCCCAGATTGACATCACCCTAATATTGCCAAAACCCCTGTCAGCCAATCACAAACCCTAGATTTATTCTCCTTTTTAGTTCACTATTTCACCGTTCTCCGCTTTTTTCATAGCTTGGATCATAGATTCTAATGGGTTTGTTTTCACACTGAAATTCACTTTTTTTTTACCCAAAAAAAAAAAAGAACAATCTTGATGCCACAGCAAAACCCAGAAACCAAATTAGTTTAAACTTCGAAGTGATACTTCAAATTCTTTTTTTTTTTCTTTTTTTTTTTTGGAGAACAGATTTTTTTATTCTTCCGCTTTCTTTGTTGATTCATCTGAAGTACTGGGAAAGCCCACATAACAAAATCATACCTCTTCCCCTTAGAATTAAGATTGCTAAGTTTTACAGTGATTGATTTGAGCACATTCAAGTGAGATTCTTTGGTTCCCCAAAAGCTTTTCGTTTTGGGGGCCAATTCGGAGAACTGGGTTTTACTTTACTAGTCCAGCTCGGTTTGGTGAATTGAAGAGAGAGAGAGAGAGAGAGAGAGAGAGAGAGTTTGCTAATAAAGCAGAAAAGAAGCTTGGCGGGGAATGTGCAGAGAAGTGTTTAGGAGTTTGAAGGAACGACAATGACTGGTGGGTCATTGGGTATTCGCTCTGGAAGTTATGGTTCATTGGACAAGCATGGACAAAACGGTTTGTTGCCAATCCAAAATACGACTCGAAGTAAGCCTGGGAAGATGCTCAAGGAAAAGGAGAAGGATAAGTTGGTTCACTGGATCTGCAAGTTCGCTGGTCGGAAGAAGGTTGGAATGTTGCTTCTCTGCGTAATTTCAGCCGCCGTCTTTGTCTGGGTCCTCTACGTTGGTAAAGGTTCGTTTATTTTTTCCTTTACTTGTGGATTGTTTACTTCCTGTCAGGGGAACCTCTAGTGGTATATTTTAGGTTCATTTTTTATATGGAACTGAAAATTCTACGTTCAGTTTTATCTATTTGTATTGCGTTATGTTTAGTTTTGAATTGATTTGATGTTCTTTTCATAATTTTGCTTAAATATTTTAGACAAGTTATGGGCTTGAGAACGGGTTATCTATGTTCTTGGTTCCATTCATGCTCTGCTAATTGCTGGAGTTAATGGGTGATTTCACATTAAATAAAAGTTGCAATGGTATGATTTTTTCTTGAAAAAATCAAATAAGGAACTCTTGGCTAATCCATGATTTTGTTTGAAGCATTGAGATGGTTGTTGTCAGGTTTCCACTTTACCTTGATGTGGTCTTTACTGAGTCTCTGTATTGAAATCTTTGTTTTTCAACTTCATTTATATTGAAGTTATATGGGATAATGATGCACGGGCCTATGGTTGCTTTTAGGTGAAGATGCTCAAGATGGTGCCCGTGTCCAGAACATGGGGCTTAATAGCAGCTCACCGATATATTATTCTGAATCTTCACCTTTAAATGGAGAACCAAGTGGCACCATGCATGATCAGGCACAACTAGGGGAGGCGGTTATAAGAAGTGAAAATATGGTTTTGCCCCCTCCTCCTCCTTCATATTTTCTTGGCTACACTCTTCCTCCAGGACATCCATGTAATAGTTTCAGTTTACCTCCCCCGCCGGCTGACAGAAAAAGAACTGGGCCACGACGTATGATCTAACTTATCTTTGCTTTCCTTCTTTTGTTGCATTTATTTTATTCTATTGTATTTTTAAATCTCTGAACATGGTACACATTTCATGGTCTCAGTTTTTCCTCTTTATAGCTCAATATAGAAAAGATAGAGCAAGACTAAATTTTACTTGATAAATGATGTGATGGTGATGTTACTGAGCTGCTTGCTTGAATTTCAGCTTGTCCAGTATGTTATCTTCCGGTGGAGGAAGCTGCCGCCTTAATGCCAGCAGTTCCTTCATTTTCTCCAGTACTTAAAAATTTAACATACATCTATGAGGAAACATTAAACAGAGAAACAGAATTTGGAGGCTCTGATTTTGGTGGATATCCTACTCTTGATCAGCGGAGTGATTCTTATGACAT